TCACTGGGACACCAGAAAAGCCACCTGCAAGTCAGGGAGCAAGTCTCACCACCCCACCCTGCCAGGGTCAGACATACCAGATTCCAGACACCAGCCAGCCAGACTCAAAACAAACACAGGGTTCGGTTCCAGTACACAGCAACACTCAAAATGAGCTGCTGATAAAGAAACTGCCTGGATTAAGGCATAAATGTACCCCTCAGAAAGCAGGGTTAATGCTGATGGTAAGAAACACATGGGATGCAATGAGATACCCTCCAGCATCCTGTGGGTCTTAATCCTGGGGCAGCTTCTGCATCCACCTGAGACATGGTCTCTCAGTCCTAGTCCTCAGACAACATCCAGAGCTGCCAGCTCCTCCTGCCACTCATTGTTGTCCTTCTCCATCCCAGCGTGCAGGCTAGTGTCCCACTGAGGACATCCTTTACCCAAACACAGCTGCATTTCAGAGAACTCCCTCTTTCATTATTTAAAAAAAAAAAAAAGTATATATTAATATTCAACAGCCTCCAGGAACTTTACAGTGAAACTGGCATCTTTCCCCAAACAAATTCTAAGTGAACCTTCATGATGAAATTCTGTGTTACCCCTATGTATTATTTTTACAAGGAGACAAAAGCACCCAGTCTCCGGGTTGACTCTTGTTCTCCCTCTTTCATTCTGCAAGAAGTGGAAGAAGGACCTGCAATTTCAAAGGACAAACATCTCTTTTCTGTGTAGTTTTTCAGCCTTATCAAGCTTCGCAGCTTCCCTAGTTCCTCTCAGCTGGGCTGCGGAAGCTCCTGGATTTCTTCTGGTCCCTTGGCACACAGCCCTGGACTTGACTTGGTTTCCTAAGGGAAAAGGAGCTGTCTGCTCCCCTGCCCAGGGCTTTCCAACCAACTGCCCAATTTTCTGGAAGCTTGAGGACATGACCCTATAGCAAGCACTGTGCAAACAGGCTGCTCTGAGCATCCCCAGGGAAGGGGCACTGCAGGGTGAGCACAACCTCACTGGGACACCAGAAAAGCCACCTGCAAGTCAGGGAGCAAGTCTCACCACCCCACCCTGCCAGGGTCAGACATACCAGATTCCAGACACCAGCCAGCCAGACTCAAAACAAACACAGGGTTCGGTTCCAGTACAGCTCGAGTGGTTTTCTTTTAATCCCAGAGAAGTGAAATGCAACATTTGTTTGAGTTGGTACTAACATCCAGAGACAGAAGTCCAAGCCCCCTACTCGGTAAAGTCATTTGTATTTAAGGCACTCTGCAAAACCAGCTTTCCTCTTCTCCTTCTGATTTTCCCCACACGGCAGCAGAATACCTGGTTTGGTCTTTTCTCCGTAGCGACACCCACACATCCTGGATCTCCTCACCCTCTCCAGGAATTGGAAACAACAAATACAGCAAGAGCCAAATGGAGAAATGCCAGGAGACCGGGTTGATAAATACAGACAGGCATGGGAGGGAGCACAATGCCTGTGGGAGGGGGCAGGGAGGCTTCAAGCTTCTGAAGGAAGGGGACGGGCACAGGGTGTCCTCCCTGTAGGCACCGTCATGATTCCCCTTCCTTTCTCCTCCCAGCTCTGGAAGGGGATGGGAGTGCAGGGGCCAGCAAGCATCCCTCCCCAGCAATGCTCCCCAAAACACAGGGGGCTGGATGGGGAACGGGAGGGGGAAGCTGCCCCCACTGCACAGCAGAAATAATCCCCTCGACTTCCAGCCATCAATAAATACCAATAAATAACTTAAACCTTAAATAAATAAATAGATAGATAAATAAATAAATAAATAAATAAATAAGAAGATGGGGAGGGAAGGGGCACCCCGAGGTGCACAGCAAGGGGAGTGGGCAGGCATTTCTGTGGCCTGTCCCTCCCTGAGGTAACAGGGTGTTGGTGTGACAGGGGGTGCAGGGATGGTGTCCCACGGGGAGGTTGGATGACTGAGCCCTGGGGTCCAGGTGCTCGTCCCTGGCGTGGGCTCTGCCACTAGGACTCCCACTCGAGGCACCCATCAGCACCAGCTGTGAGCCACGGGACATGAGCTGAACCCGGGCACACACGTGGGAGCTCTCCCCGCTGCCATCCCCCTTCCCTGCCCTGCACCCGGGCTCCACCAGTCAGCGCTACCGAGCTCGGGGAGATGCTCACCCAGCACCTCTATTGAACACACAGCCTCGGAGAACATGCAAAACACCTGCAAGTTTTTGCAAACGTTGCTTGCACATCTTTTTTTGCAAACAATTTTTGCAATTATTTCTTTTTAAAGAGGAAATGCCCACAAAGACAACCCAGGCATCAAATCAAGTTAAGTGCATCAAATCCAGCCATCGGAAAAGGAGCAGCAGAAGCCTGGAAGGGTGAACACAGGCATGGTCCTGGGGCTCAGCCAGAGCCTGCCTGTAGGCTGGGGCAGCCCTGGGAGCAGAGGCACAGGCTGCAGCCAGGCACCAAGCCCAACACCAGCACCAAGCACCAACCTGGGGCCATTGCAGACACACAGGGACAGAAACGGCACCTGCTGCTGTCTCAGAGTCATAGCAGATAATGTGCCAAGGCTCCAGCCAGCCAGCACATCCCTAAAGATGAACTCAGCAGCATCCCTGCACCAGCATCCCTGCTCTCCCAGCTGGCTGGCTCCACAGCAGTGCTGCAGCAGCTTCCTGGGCTGCACGGCGAGCACACAGCCCCTGAGCACTGTCCCAGACCTTCCCCGTGGGTTCTGGGGAGCTGGCTCACTCAGCCTCTCTGGACTCAGGATCCTCTCCAAGCAAGGAGACCCCTTTGTTGGGAAGCCCCTTCCTCTGGCTTTTCAGCTCTGATGCTGCCAGAGACGTTTCTGTCCCACTGGGTCAAAAGCATCCAGCGCCCTGATTTCAAACCAAAAGGGACTTACCCATCCTCCTCCTCCCCCAAGTGTTAAGGAAAACTGTATTTAAAGTTTCTAAACCCTCTCCACACACACTGCTTGAGAAACGAAACATCAATGACTGCAAAAGCTGCCCATCAATGCCATCCCAGCACAAAACCACAGGCAGAGCCTCACAACAGCAGAACATCTTCCCACGCCAGCAAGCTCTCAGCAGGAGTTTTGCTCCAGAAAACACAGCAAACCAAAGCTCAGAGCCCCCTCTCCCACCTCAAGGCTGTAGCCCCCTGTGATAACAGGCACCAAAAGCAGCAGGTTCCCAGCCCACTGGGAGACTGGGAGGAGCAGGAGCCCTGGCACAGGGAAGTGCACATCGAGGCATCAAAATCCAACGCTCCCAAAGCAAAAAATAAAGAACTGAATCAGCAGCAAACACTGCTGAGAGTAATAAATAGCACAGGGATTTCACAAGGGTTTTTTGGTCTGAGATGCCTGGGGAGCCCCTTTGCCAGCAGGGACCAGGATGCACATCCCAGCCTGGACACGGAGAAGCTGTGGCTGAAGCTTTGCAGGAGCTCAGCCATGCTCTGCGGAGCGATGCCACCGAGATGTGCCAGCACACCACAGGCACCAAGGCAGCATCCCAATGGCCCAGCTGAGGGCAGCACTGCCAACACTGCAGGAAAGGCTTTGCATGGAAGTGCCCAGCACGGCAACCCTCCCCAGGGTCTCCTGGCAGTGGGACAGAAGATGGGACCCTCCCAGAGGGAATCACCCACATTCCCAAGGCAGGGCAAACCTCCCATGGTGTGAATGCAGGGGCACGAGCGGAGGAGCCACGGGGCTCACACCAGGGTGGAGGACGGAGCAGATAAAGCAGCAAAAGTCATACCCATCTGCCTGGGAGTGATGGGGCACCTGGGGCATCAGCAGCACTGCCACGGCTCTGCTGCATGCCGAGGGCAAAACGTTGGGAATTGCAGGCTGCAGCCCACGGCATCACGCTGCCCCACAGACCAGCCCCACAGACCAGGCAATGCCAGCAACCTAGGCACAGAGCAGAAAGGCAAATAACCCCCCTGCCTCCTCCTTCCCAGGCAAACTCAGGCCCACACCACAGAGCCTCTGCTCACATCCCTGCCTCCAGCTCATGTTGAAGAGGCCCCCATCCCTGCAGAGCCTGGGGAGTCACTGCAAGGCACACAGTTCCCTCCCTGCCAGAATCACCCTGCTCTGCGGTGGCCAAGGAGGAGAAGGGTCTCCACATGAGCCAGTATTCGCACGGAAAATGAGCAAGCACCCAACAAGGGAGTTAAGTCTGCAGGGGAGGCGCACAAGTCTCAGGGTAGCTCCAGTTTGGTCTGGGTACAACACTGTCAGCCAGGCCCTGGGCTGGGTGAGCAGGCACCATTCCTGGCTTCTCTCTCAGCTGGGAATGGGTTTTGCTTCCATGAGAGAAAGGCCAGTGGGATTTAGGGGTGGGGAGGTTAAGGAACTGCAAGGATCTAGTGCACCTTAAAACGAAAGGATATCTAACCTGCCCTTAGATCTCACTCCAAGACAGAAAAGAGCTATGGCATCTCCTACACTCACAACTACTCCAAACACACCCCGACGCATGCAAAACATCCCGCTTCCCCTCGGCTGCAGAAAGCCCCTCCCAGGCAGCAGCAAGGCTGGCACCGGGCTCCGGCTCCGCCCCCGGGCAGGGCAAAGGGTCGATGATCGATCCCAAATGCATAGGTATAGACACCGTGGGGACAGCCACGTCCCATGGGAAGGGTCACCCCAGGACCCCCCGCGTCCGGCAGGCACGGTCTCCACTTCTACCTCCAGTTGTGTGGAAAGCAGCACTGGCCACAGGCAGGTTTCAATCCTCCTCACATTGCCCTGCAAGGAAAGATGAGTTGTTTAGGTGAGACAGCCTCTTTGCCAGCTGCAAGCTCCTAGGAGTACTCAATTCTGCTTCCTGGGAAATCCTCCAGCTCAGTGATCCCTATTCCACACCAGCCAACTCTTCCTGGTTCAGGAGGAGCCGTGTTTCCAGCCACAGATACAAAGGCAGGAGAACCCGAGAGGCCTGCTTTGGCTCAGGAACCCCACTGATTGGCAGCACCCAGGCCCTCACACCCGTGCCCTGGGGCTGCTCTACTTGGGAGGTATCACGACGATAGGCTGGCCTCGCTTGGGCCTCCACATGAGGACCTGGGCATCGTTGGCGTTGGGTTTCACTAGTGCATTTGGTGGGATGGGCTCCATCCTGCTGAGGATCCGGGGCTGCTCTTGCTGAGTCCTTCCCACCAGCCGTGCCCGCTGCCCCAGCAGCTGCATGGGATCCACCTCAATGTCCACTCGCATCCTCCATTTTATAGTCTGCAAGATGATCTTCTCCTTGGTGGTGGTGTTCATGGCCACCAGCCATGTGGTGAAGCTCTGGTCCCTTTTAATCCTGGTCAGCAGTGGCACGTTGCTGTTGCTCACAGGGACAGCCCACGTCACGCTGGGGTAGAAATTGTCATTCATGCTCACCGAGAACCTGGAGATCTTGTTGGTGGGCCCCACCAGGGTCACAGTCTCCGTGGTGTTTCCATACCAGGGGTAGCTCACGCCATCCGAATCGCTGATGGCTTTTACTCTTCCTTCTCTCAGGTCCGGCAGCTCCCAGCTTGACCTAGCAAAAGAGAGACAGGGGAGAGAGGGGAGAGAGACAGGCCAGGCCAGCTGGGAGGCAGCAGCGACAGCCCCCGGCG